ATACATAATAAGATAGCATCATTGACTTATAAAATTATATTTATTGAAAATGTATAAGTAAATTTGTCATGCATTCTTTTAATCTAAGAATTTATAAGGGAGAGCAAAAAATGGATATTCTCTTTGCCCATTGTCTATTTTGTGTGGGCCCATTAAACTCTAGTTACTAATTTTATAAGTAAACTGATTAGATTTTCCAATTTTTTTTTTTCATTGAAATAAATTAGGCGCCCTAAGTCACTATTCAACTACTCTTGTGTCTAAAACCTAAAATGTCTTATGGTGCAAGGGAACTTTGCAATCTTACTTTTTTCAAAAACAAAAATACTTATACATCTTTGCTCGTGTTATTAGATAGAAGGTACACAAAATGATGATTCATAATTTCATACAACAAAAAGTAAAAATGATTTAACTTTTCATTGTAGGATCCCTGGACCTGAATATTGTTGCGACAAAACATTAATTGATTTGTGGTTGTTGGCATAGTATATCAGTAATTATACACCTGACTTAACTATATAGTGAAGAGTTTGAATCTCACACTCTTAAGTTTCAAAATAATAATAATAATAATAATAATAACTGGTTTCGGTTAAAATATATACAAATATTAATTAATTAGAGGGTTGTCATGTTGAGTACTCGTCTAATTAAGATCCAATTAACAATTTATGTCAGGCATTAAGGGTGCCAACATTACAAGTAAACATATTACTTTAGTCTTTATTTCCCCACCCAATTTATTTAACCCAACGTTTATCATCTTATTCACGTATGGTATGTGTTGATTCAATTACATATAATTCATTGGAGGATTATTTCTGCAATATTGAAGATAGAAGAAGGAAAATGGCAGTTCCGTTATTCAACATTAATAATACGACAACATTATTAAGAGATAAAGAAGATGACGTGAATGTTTTAAACGCAGCTGAAACACTAGTATTAGACCGCTTAAAAAAGTCATATTGTTATACCGTAATATTACGTGGTGAGGGAACAAAATTTTTCTTATTAGAGAGAGAGAGTAAATTGCTTGTAATAGAAAAAGTCTTAGAAAGAGAAACAGGTTCTAGAGTGAGAAATGGGTGGAGAAGAGGCTATCTTGCTCTGTAATTTTCTTGCTTGGGTTTCTCGGGAAAGAGAGCTGAGATTTTCTTGGAAGTTTTACTCTTGTAATTGCCGTTGTAATTAGAATATTATTGATTAGTGCAAGTCGAATTCTTCTGGGGAGTTTGCGAAGACGTAAGTAGATTTATCACCGAGCTCTGAGATCAATTACTTGTGTTCTTGAGTTTTCTTTTCTGTTTTTGATTCTGTGATTGAAGTTGGTGTTGGATAATTTTTTTTTCCAACAGTACGGTTCAATTCGAATAGCAAGAAAGTAATCATTCTGATATAGCTATGATCATGAGTTTGATGTTAACTCCAATTTGCAAAAGGATCTTTTTGAAAATGTTGAAGGCATGACCAGTTGTGCCTACTCAATCCATATGTCTTGTACATAAAAGATAACTAGATTAATATGTGTGAATACCGTTATTCTTCTAAAATTAGGTGAAAACTTAAATAGATTTTTTTGGCAAATATCATGCCTTAATTTCTTAACATTGACAAACTACCTGTGAATTTAATAAAATATTACACAATTATCTATAATTAATTAATAATGTTAAAATTGGAAAATGCCCTCATGCACATGAGTAAATGAGGTGCTTCGTTTGTCATTCAAATTATACTCTCTCTTCCTAATTCATACAAGCTCATGTAACGTGTAAGAAGACATTTTCAACTAAGTTTTAATTATAAATATCGATTTGGGAGCATTCTACAAGAATCTCTTAAATTTAGGGGTATTAAAAGTCTAAAAAGAAACTTTGCCATTTGTAAAAAGTTTCCCAGTAGATAGACGAGCATAATTATGAAATAAATTTTAAATCCGTTTTGCCCACAATTGATCTGTCACACAATTTTCAGGAAATAGCATGTTGGATGCATACAATCTGTAAACTGTAATGGTGTTCCTTTTAGATTTGTGTGAATGTGGGGGGAGGAGACTGACGAAATATTGCAAGAGACGTGGTGACGTTGGTGCGTGTGTGTGTGTATATATATATATATA